AGTGAATGAGACCTTCACTCTGAACATCACTCCCAGAAGAGAAGATGATGGAGCCCAGTACTGGTGCGAAGCCAAGCTGGAGCTGGGACCAGCTGGACCACAGCCCCCTCCAGTGGTGACATCAGAAAAACTCAATGCTACAGTCTGTAAGTCACTGTGGGAAAATTAAAAGAATCAAACCTCAGTTTTATATTCACACCAAACCGACACAGTTTTTTCTTTGTTTGGTATCGCTTCCATATCTGTGCATAATCTTAAACCTTTTGCTGGGAGCAGCTTAGCTTATCTTAGAATACAGACTGAAAATATTAACAGACAGACCAAAACACATGATTTATACATCAGGTGTTTATTTGCTCAAATTACCCGTTTGTCTTTTCCTAGATTTTACTACCACAACCAGAAAGCCAGAACCTACAACCATTAAATCAACAACAAGGTCAACCACAAGAGCCACAACACCCCAAACAAAGTCCACAACTACAACCACCAAATCAACTACAAGCTCAGCCACAACGACAACAGCGACCAAGACAGCAGTAATTACACAAGCAATCACTACACCACAGAGCAGCTCCAACAGAATATTAACTCACAGCTTCATGTGTTTAACGCTTCTGCTCTCTGCTCTCATCTGATTTCATATCAAAAGATTCCATAAGCCTATTATAACAATGAATGTAATTAGATCATAGCAAATACTTCATTCATTTTCTGTATAGCTTCTTAGCTTTAAAGACAGTGAGTGAGCAGTATTTAAATGAGTTGTTGTTCTATATATGCACACACATAACGAACTAAGGTGAGTAGTTAGAGTTGCTTTCTTTTATTTAGACCATTAGAGTCGTTTACAGCTGTGCTAGAAACACCAACAAGCTGATGTTTCTCAGCTTGTAGTGTTGCTCTGGGATGTCGTCCTCATTTTAATTCATTAGAAATTAAACACCTTCATTTTCCCATAAATAAGAACACGTCCATTCTGACAGTGTTCACATTTATAATCTATTTGTTTTACAAACAAATGAGGAGCAGCAGAAATATAAGTTCAATCTCATAATATTGTCTTTATTTTTCCCTTTGTGCACATTCTCTCAGTCGACTTTAATCTCCGGCATGATCGCAGGAGGAAAAGTCATATTTTACTCTAAGAACTTAGTACATTTAGATATTTAATCATAAATAACACTGCAGGGAAATGTTTTCATTTGAGCTGTCGATGGTCTTTGATGAGGTCACAGCATTACCAAAGTTGCAACAAATCATTTCTGCCAGAGAAAAGTCGGGATCAGTCTGTGCATTAGTCCTGCGAGGATCATGAATGCCAAACTGGTGACCAAACAGTCCGACATTGGACCCATGTACCACAGTGCTGATTTGTATATAAATGCACATTATACATTTTGTTTTGCGTTAATGCTTTATTCACTGACAGCCACTATAACAGATCTTCCTGTAGTTACAATAACACCAGTTTTAGCTTCCTTCTATATAATGAAACATATGATCTGAGAATGGCTTTAATTGCAGAATTCTGTTTTATGTGTGTATAATGATTTTTCTATGTATGTACACCAAATATGAACCAAAATAAAGTTGTTGATTTTTTAATGTAAACAACTTCTTCCTCTTGGTCACAACATTTAATGTGTACATGAGAAGTTTCTGTCTTTCTGTTCATTTAGCCTGTTTGAAAAGACAAGTGGCACAAGCTGATTAAACCATTTTTAGACGAAAGAGAGGAAGCTGGAGAACCGCGATAAACCCAAAAGGCAACGAGAAGCCATGACTTGGTATTATTAGGATACACATTTGTGCATAATATTTGAAGTTGAATATATATGAATTATGAAGAGTTATGACGTATGAAAAATCAAAAGACTTTGAAATATATATGTACAAAATACTGCTGTTTCAACTACACCTGCTTACAGAAATTTAAGATGTGAGTGAAGTTGGACCCCCAACCTTCTTCAAATCCAACAAAAGTGGTATCAAACATTTGTGCTGCAAAAATTTTAGTTTGTGCAGCTACTATTTTAAAGATATTAATAAGAATTTCTAGAGGTCATCAGAGGTCAACCAGTCCCCACATTAAGGAAATCAAACAAAATTGGTGTCAATCAACTGTGCTACGTTTGTGCTACTAAAATTGTTGTTTGTGCTGCTTCTGTTTTAAAGATATTAATGAAAATGTAAAGGTCAAAAGGTCAACCAGCCCCCACGCATTACCCAAATCAAACAAAAGTGGTGTCAAACTTTTGTGCTACGTTTGTGCTGCAAAAATTTTCGTTTGTGCTGCAATCATTTTAGAGATATTAATAAAATAATGTCTTGATGCATGCTCAATCATCCAGGTTTACCTTTTGTAAATCCCAAATTGATTCTTGATTCTGTTCATCTGGATGTTGTGTTTTCAGTGGGAGAATGTTTTGTCATCCAAGTGACTTTTTCAGTCTCAGCTGACTGCAGGTTTCCCCAATCTTAGTACATGTACAGTCAGTGAAGAGAGATGTTACATCTCCCTTCACTTGCATTCCAGTCACTGAAGGTAGTTTGCAAGAGATTAGAGGATGACCCCAAATTCAGCAACAGAACCAGCCTCAGCACTGATCAGTTGTGTTTGCTTTTGGAACTGTGTGTTAATTCTACCTTTTTCTGTCATGGTCTGGGTGAGTCTGAGTAACTTTCCACAGCATCGGCTCTCCTCCTCTGGGTGGAGCCCACCTTTGCCTTGAGAATCTAAGTTAGGAATTCTTGTAAATAAAAGTTTTGTTTTTGCAAATCACTTCAAGCCTCTGATCTCTTGGTTCTGCGCTTGAGTCCATTCCACTCCATCGGCCTCTGAGCAATGACAGTTTCACATCCAAGGGTCAGTATTATTGTTCCATTGTGGGTCAGTACTACAGGCAGAAACATGGGTCTGCCATGGGTTCCCCAGTTTCACCCTCCGCGGCCAACATGTACATGGAAGAAGTGGAAAAGAGGGATTTGCTATCCTACCTTGGAACACCACCAAGTCATTGGTTCAGATATGTGGATGACACGTGCGTGAAAATCTAATCTCAGGAGGTACCACAATTCATGGATCACATTAACTCGGTGGACCAACACTACAAATTCACCAGGGAGGATATGAAAGGTGGCAGGTTAACCTTCTTAGACTGTGAGATTTCCATCAGTAAGGGGGGACATCTAAAAGCTGATGTGTACCATAAACCTACGCGCACAGATCAGTATTCAAGGTTTGACTCTCATCATCCATTGGAGCATAAACTGGGTGTCATCAGGACGCTACAACACAGAGCAAACACCATCCCCACAGACACAGCAGCCAGGGAAGCAGAAGAACAGCACATCAAGAAGGCCCTGAGTAAATGTGGTTATCCCAGCTGGACAGTGGACATTTGTCAAAGCTGGGAAGGCGGCTAAAGAAAGCTCCAGCCAATCCAGGAGAGAAGGACAACCGCTGCCTAAGCAAAAACTCGTAGTGGTCACGGTACTGGGTCTACGGCCCAGTGTTTTGTGTGTTTTTGTTTTATTCTTTGATTATTGTTATTTCCTCAGTGTTTCCTGGTTTATTTTGAAAGAGTATTGTGTGTTTGTCATTGTGTTTAGTTTCTCTTTCCCTGTGTCATTGTGTTCATTTGTGTCATTGTTTTTTTGGACAATTTTTTCACCACCCAGAGAGAAGATTACAAAGCCCTGCCCCTCCCCCACCGTGGTGCCTCTGATCACATCTCTGTTATGCTAATGCCAGCATACAGGCCCCTGGTCAAAGTCACGAAACCAGTTTGTAAGCAGGTACATGTGTGGCCAGAAGGGTCCTCAGAGGCACTGCAAGACTGCTTTTCCACCACATACTGGGAGATCTTTAAACAGACTGCACCACAGACTTTCAGAAATATACAGAAGTTGTCATTGCCTACATCTCAAAATGCATTGATGATGTCACAGAGACCAGGGCCATCACTGTTTGGGCCAATCAGAACCAATGGCTCACAGGTGAGGTCTACAGGCTCCTGAGGTTGAGAAATGCAGCCTTCAGAGCTGGGGATGAGGTGAGCCTAAGAACAGCAAGAGCAAACCTGTCACGTGGCATCAGAGGCGAAAAGGCTGTACTCCAGGAGGATTTCACAAAGCTTCAGCGACAGCAGAGATAATCAGAGGCTGTGGCAAGGAATAGAAACCAACACAGATTACAAGCCCACTCCGCAGACCGCTGTCGGTTCCACCTCTTTACCGGATGAGCTTAACAAATTCTATGCTTGCTTTGATGCACAGAAGACTCCACCTCTCCAACAACCGGGTGGTGACACTATCCCCAGACAGTGTGTGGAGATCCCTTGCCAGGATCATTACATGCAAAGCCCCAGGTTCTGATAACATCCCTGGGTGAGCACTGAGGGACTGTGCTGTGGAACCCACAGATGTCTTCACAGACATCTGTAATACATCACTGAGCCAGGCTGTTGTTCCCACATGCCTCAAAGCCTCCACCATCATTCCTGTACCGAAGTCACCTACCTCCTGCTTTAATGACTACTGTCCAGTCGCTCTCACCTCCATCATTATGAAGTGCTTTGAATGGTTAGCCATGCATCAAATCAAAACATCTCCTCCCCCCAACCTGGATCCATTTCAGTTTGCATACCGGTGTTCTGGAAATCCATCCTACCTCAAAAAACATCCTACCCAACGTTTCTGCGCAGACGCTGTGCATGCGCACAACACCAAACCCAAATTAACTTATTTTTCTCTCATCCAAGGTTATGGTTCTTATGGTTATGGTTAGGGGGTAGGTTTAGGCAAGTTTGCAGACGACACAACTGTGGTAGGTCACATCAGCAACAACGATGAGACCTACTGCAGGGGTGAAGTTCATCTGGCCGAGTGGTGCAGCAACAACAACCAGTACCTGAACGTGGAGAAGACCAAGGAGATCATCATAGACTTCAGGAGAACTCACTCCCTGCACACTCCACTAACCATCAATGGTGCTGCTGTGGAGAGGGTAAGTTCCTGGGTGTGCACATCCCAGAAGATCTCTCCTGGTCAAAAAAGAGAGAGCGATATCCTCACCACCTGGATCACTGTGTGCTATGACTCCTGCACTGGGTCCTGCTGGAAAAAATTACAATGGTAGTGAGAGCAGTGGAGAGGATTGTGGGTACTTCTCTTCCCTCCCTGCAGGAGATCTACTGAACCTGGCTCATCTGGAAAGCTCTCTGGATTACAGGTGACTCCACTCATCTGTCCAACAGCTTCTTCAGTTTGCTGCCATCAGAAAGGAGATTGAAGAGCCTCCAAGCTAGAACCAGCAGACTGACAGACAGCTTCATCCATCAGGCTGTCAGGATGCTGAATTCACTTTCTGCTCTCACACACACAAACTCCAGACCTGCATTCACCTCCTCCCTCCGAACTCCCTCCGAACAATCATACACATTCCTGTGTATGATTGTATATATGGCCTTTGACATTAAAGCTGACTTTAACTGTTTCCTCATGTGTTTCTCCTTCCTCTGATCACCTCCTGTGTGTCTTCCATTGTTCAGCGTCAGGTTGTCTGTTTTCCTGCCCTCCATGTCACTTCAGGTTTCCAAGGTTTTCATCATTTTGTTCAGGGCATGTTCATGTATCTAGTTCATGTTTGTATTTCATAGTTTCTTTCATGCCTGCACAAAATCATGTTCATAGTCGTCATAGTCTTTTCTAGTGTTGCCGGTTTGGGTCTTAGTTTAGCCCCTGCCACTGTTCAAGTTGTTTTGTTTCACACTCTTGTCATCAGCCCTAATAAGGGCTCGATTTTTGTTTAAGCTTCAGTTCCTCTCACTAGTGTTTGCATCTGGGTGCTGTTCACAAACACAC